TACATAGAGAGAGGGGGAGAAAGAGAGATTCATATTCGTATATCATCGCCAAGTGTAATATCACTGACCCTAGCAATGTTATTTACATCGAATCTTAAAACACCTAAAACATAGCGATCTAACCAGACATAACCCAAAGCTGCGTAACTCTTAATTGTACCGCAACAAGAACTCATATGTTAGTGTCTTGGTGGGAGGAGCAGGCTAGATTATATTAAGATGATAAGATGAAGTGCCTATAACTGTAACCGATCACTGGCCGCAAGAACTAGGACGTGTTTAGTTTGATAAACCTCACTTAATCACTAGATCAACAATGCCATTTTAAAAACGAGGTATGAAACAGATATTATTAAACAAGGAAAAGGCAATCGAACGATGAGTAGGTATTCCAATTATCACATTATTATATCAAAATCATCCTGTGACGTATGACGTTATGACGGATGACGTTAAAAAACAATGATATATCTAATACATATTTGTGAATGTATGTCTGTTTGTTTGTCTGTTCTCAATGTAAATCAATATGGAGCACTCTAGAAATGTCCAATGACGTCCAGTAGGGGTAATTTTCGATGTTGAATGTCATGGGCACATCGGATTTGACCTCCGAGGTTATCTGAGGTTGCAGGAGGACAAAATGAGGCCAAACATGGTGAAAAATTGGTGCCTGCAGCAGCATTAAATCAACGGGCCCCTGCAGCAACATTGTCCAAACAAGATTCAGCTTGCACTGGCTTGCTTTACTGTTACTAAAAGTACACTAGATAGATAGATAGATAGATAGATAGATAGATAGATAGATAGATAGATAGATAGATAGATAGATAGATAGATAGATAGATATATAGATAAGATAGATAGATAGATAGATAAATAGATAGATAGATAGATAGATAGATAGATAGATAGATAGATAGATAGATAGATAGATAGATAGATAGATAGATAGATAGATAGATAGATAGATAGATAGATAGATAGATAAGATAGATAGATAGATAGATAGATAGATAGATAGATAGATAGATAGATAGATAGATAGATAGATAAATAAATAAATAGATAGATAGATAGATAGCTAGATAGAT